AGGCTCAACTCTTCCCCCCCCCACCCTTACCAAGGGGCTTCCCTCCCTCCTTCCTTCCCTCCCTGCCTCTCTCTCCTCTCTCCACCTCTCCCCCCCCACACACACAGTTTCTGAGCCAGCCTTAGCTTTTGGGAAGTGCCGGCGCAACTCCGTCTGATGGAAGCGAACCAGGGAGAAGACGCGCATCCGAAGGAGAGCAAGCCAGCCGCGTTCTCTCGGGTTCTGTGGCGCGGGTGGAGACAGAGGTCCCGGAGCTCCGCGCGCGGGCTGGCTGGTGGGTGTCCGCAGATGAACAAAGAAGGGAAGTAGCTGAGGGGAAAGGGACGGGCAATCGGCACATGCCCAGAGGCCGTTCTAAAGAGCCATGGGGGAGATGGATTGCTTTCTGCAGTGCTGGACTGGACGCACCCCAACCTTGTAGCTGGTGCACGCCCGCAACGCACGCACCCCCCGGTGTCCACGGCATTCCTGTGCGGAATCATATCAAGACCGCTTTGTTTGCAGGGTTCTTACCACGCACATCATGCTGGTGAGGAATGTAAATGAACTCAAGAGGCATGAGAGCGAAGGCACACAATTCTGGGATTTGGCTTTGAGTTGAACCGGCATTTGGGAAGAGGGCGATGCCATAGAAGTCTCAAGGAACAGAATGGCAGAACTCCAGCCACCTAAGCTGCTCATTGTCTAACTTCACCCGAACTCTTCCTTCTGCTTTGTTTCGTCCATTAACCTGAGGACTAGAAACTTCACTTGGCTAACAAAAGGAATTAATACAGAAATCCTTATGAGTATGCTCCCTGATGCTGTGCGTGTAACATGCCCATCATTACTTAGAGGCTTTGGAGGCGATCTCCCTCTGACTAATATTAGGCTTAATGAGGAGGGCGAGGAGAACCAGATTTACTTGGGTATATAGATGTAAACAGATATGGGAGGTCCAGATGGTAATTCTTTAAATGAGAGGAAAATGCTTGAGGGATTCACTGCAGAAGGAAGGAAGGAATATGTCTGAAAAGCAGTTTTCACGCATGCCTTTACCTTCGGGGAAAGTGAGAAGAACTCTGTGTTAAAGGGAATTGGTCAGATAGAACTTCAGAATATTTGTAGAGGTTTTCTACTTTTCTTCCCAAATACGCTTTTATGAAGTTTCCACCCATAAAGACTGACTGACTAGTTGTGCCTCATTGAAAGCAGTGTCCGATGCTTTCTGTCTGATGCCATTGCTGCTAAACTCCAAATGAGTTTTCCCAATGACCTCAGCACAAACCCGCTTGTGTGCGCGTGTGCGCGTGTCTATGTGTTCCGCGTGCGCACACATGCAGGCAAGAGCTTGATTCTTCTGTACCAAAAGGTAATAAAGTAAACATTGCAAAGTCAGAGGATGGATATACATTATGCAAATCAAAAACATTTGCATGAGGACACCCAGTCTATTTTCCCTCTTTGGATTTGAGGGTTTTGGTCTCAGTACAGAAGACGTGAGGAGTAAAATGATGAAAAACAGAGCAAGCGGAGAAGCACAGAGGCACAGAAGAAGTGAGCCATAAAGGCCTGGGGAAAAGAGAGGAACATTCCCAGCTTCCTCGGCAACTGGTGTCTGAAGAAGTGGCTCATTTTGGCAGTTGACTAATGGAACCCTTTGCACAGTAGGGTATTGGAGAATGGACTTTGCAGGATAAAAGCACAGGAATGTATTTATTTATTTTGGTTAGCAGGCATGATGGTGTCTGCTACCATCCCAATCAAACTTTCTTGTCATCACAAGAACAGGCAGAGAAGGGTTGTCATCACAAGAATAGGCAGAGAAGAAGCACTGCATTGTTATTAGTGAGCAGCTTTCTAACCCAGTGTCTTTGAGGATGGTTTCATCTGAACCTAGAAACAGAGATCCATTAGTCCAATAAAAACAGGCATACTTTTGAGTCCCACAGACTGTTCTTGAGCATCAACATTGCAGACGGGAGAGGCAGAAAGATCCAGAAATCATCCTGATTAGATGTTGGATGTCCACTTCCAAGTTTAAAGTTAAGTCTGAGGATGGAGACAGCAAACTGGTAGAACCAGCCTGAGGAATCAGTTTTCACAGGGGATGAAGAATTAATTGTCTGATTTATTAATAAAGAATTAATTGTCCATCTCAGAACACAAAGGGCCACGAGTCCCTCAGTGGCTGAAATCCTGTTACGCAGCTCTGCGTGCACAATGACGATGATGTCATTGTCTGCAGCAAATTGCTGCTAATTAAAGGTTTTCTTTGCTGATTTCAGGGTGCAAGTGAGTTCATCCCATTGTGTACAAACCACATGCACCCTAAAACTGCCTTTAATTAACAGTGATTTGCAATTCTTGATGTTGTCATCCTTATTGTGCATGTAAAGCTGCACAGCGGGATTTCAGCCAGCGTCTCCTCCCTTGCCATGTTTTGAAGCATGTCGCTCCTATTTGACTGGGAGTTAAAGCAACAGATAAGTTCTATGATTTCCCAAGGGTACGTTTGACTGTGTGTGTGTGTTATGTGCCCTCAAGTCAGATCTAACATCTAGCGACCCTAATAGGGCTTTCAAGGTAAGTGAGATATTTAAGGAGTGCTTTTGGCCATGGGAGCCTCCAAGAACTAACATGGCTAAGAGAGGATTTGAATCCAGGTCTCTTGAGCCATCGGCCATGGGAGCCTCCGAGAACTAACACGGCTAAGGGAGGATTTGAATCCAGGTCTCTTGAGCCATAGTCCACCCCTCTATCCACTACACCACACTGGGTATTCACTGTTTAGTGACTTCTACAGTTCAAGGAGTAACAAATTGTGGTGGAGGAATATCTCATATCTCATGTGTTGATTCATGCTATGCATTGTAGCAAACAGGTGTGTATGGTTTTCTGAAGTAGCTGAAAATCCAACTGTTTAAATTACTTTTGCAAAATGGGAATATAACTATTATGACACCAGTGACAGTTTAGGGGCACTGACATTCTAACTGCAAATTACAAATTTTTTTTTGAAGATCCTTTCCCTGCCTTTTTCTTCCAACTGGCTCTGTATATGAATGTGTGGGTGAGGGTGTGCTTGTGGGTGTCTATACACATACCAATAGGCATTATTCACACACACAAAGGCTACACTGATCAAGGTTGTGTCAAAATCCGGATCAGCATATCACCTGCACTCGTTCCGCAAGCAATATTTCTGACAGGATGTATTTTAAGCATGACATTTGCTGATATGCACATCTGTGTGTGTGTGACAAATATACCTGTTTTGTATGTATTTGTCATTGAACAGTTCCATTCAAAGATCTGCAGAAGTATTTCAAAGAATGCCTGAGTTTAAATTTGTATGTTGCTTCAAAAATGGCAGACTGGGTAAATTCACATCAAAAAGCAAAACTACGGAATTTTCGCTTCCATCCCTTGCAATGTATACCAGCGGTACCTCTAGTTATTGCTTTGTAATGAAAAGTTTCATTAATTCCTTTCAAGAGGCCTGTTAACAAATGAGCGCGGTGCCATTTGATCTGGCACCCGTTATTGGTCGGAGGTTGTTTTAGCTTCCTGCGCTGGGATCTCCAAGCAAGAAACTAATCAGGTCTCAGCCCTATTACATTTGTCTTGTCAGCTCCACTTCCTAACGAAGTTATAAGTTTGAGGATACGACCCAAGAGATGATGCTCAAGCAAAATTCCATTTCAAAATCAATAGGCTGTGCTTGAAGGCGCACTTGGTCTCTGTCCAGCTGAATCAACAACGTTCGCAAAACTAAAATGCGGTTTGACTCGGGTTTTGGCACTTGGAAAAGCGCTCGCTCTCAAAAACTGTGGGGATGCAAAGATGAAAGCATGAGTTATTCCCTAAAAAGCCATGCAAGAAGGGGAAAGGGAATGCTGTTTTACCACATTTGTTTTGAAATTATGAGTTCCATGACATTGTGAGCTACCTGACACCATCTTGAAATGGGTTAGCCCTGTGACCATAGGTGAACTATACTGAAGCATGGAGATCAATGGGAACTCAGCACTGATCATTTCTTTGTACTTGAATGAGAAGTTGTAAACTGAGGGGAAAAAAGGAAGCAGCTTCTGTGATTTTTCCTTGCTTGGTGTCACTTTGTGAATGGTAGTGAACAGAAGAGGGTTTCCTGTATAGACCATCTATCTGGATGGCTGCCATGGGTGTTGTCAACATTCAGGCTGCCCTTTGCTATGCAAAGCTTGGCATCCTTTCCCTGATGGCCAGATAGGCACAATACTGTGCAGAAATATCAGACCTGGCTATTTGAATCGTGGATACAGAAGTAGAATACCCCACCTTCATGAACTAGGTAAAGGTAAAGGTTCCCCTTGACAATTTTTGTCCAGTGGTGTCCGACTCTAGGGGGCGGCGCTCATCCCGCTCTTCAAGCCATAGAGCCAGCGTTTGTCCGAAGACAATCTTTCCGTGGTCACATGGCCAGTGTGATTTAGACACGGAACACTGTTTACCTTCCCCCCGAGATGGTACCTATTTATCTACTCGCATTTGCATGCTTTCAAACCGCTAGGTTGGCGGGAGCTGGAACAAGCAACGGGCGCTCACTCCGTCGCGTGGATTGAACTAAAGGTGTTTTTTTTTTCATCATCTGTGCCAAGGATGAAGATCAGACGATGCAAACAACCACAGAAAGAATGAAGTCACCTGTGTGATAGTAACAGAAATGGGGGGCCTCAGCCCTTTGGATGTTTGGTCTACAGCTTTCATCAAACCCAGGTAGCATGGCCAATGGTAAGAGATGGCAGGAGCTGTTGATCAGAGACCTATCAAAATAAGGATTTAGCCCCAAACTCAGTGGGACTGAACTACCGCATTTTGAATCACACCAT